CCAACCTGTGGTTGGAAGGTTAGAAGGACAGTAGTATCCCTAGCTCATCAGGATTCAAGTCCTAGACTTGACATGGTGCTCATATTTTCATAGATTTATTTCAGGCTTTCCGGCGATGTTCGTTCAATGGGTGGAGGCATCCCCATCGACTACGAGGCGCCTGTAGTGACTTCGTCAATCTCAAGATGCTATGCCGGCTAAGGCTGGTCATAGTGGGAGTAACATAGGTAGTAACATACATGCCACATAAGCAAAAAAGATGATGTGTCAGGTAATTAATGAAGAGAGAGGCAAATAGAGTAACATAATATGTTACCATCACATAGCGGTTCCCAATGCAAAATGAGTCTAGAAAGTAATAAATGAGGTAATGCATGACACTACACATATGTTACTACCCACTATAGAGGTAGTAACATAGACTAGTAACATATGCATGTTACTAGTCTAAGTTACTCCCCACTATGACCAGCCTAAGTCTCACGGAGGTGCTCATAGAGGTAGGGTGTGCGTGCATGCGTTCATAGGGGTAAGTATATGCTTGTGTATGTGAGCGACTTCGATTATATAGTTCAAAAATAATAATGATAATGAAGCACATCCAACCCTTTTTAAAATTGTGCAAGTTGTGCAACATGTGTTGTGTGAGGAGATCAAGAAGGTAATTCCGTCCGACAGAGTCGAAAGCCTTCTTGATATCAAGCTTGAAAAGCAGGGTGGGCTTCCGAATGCGATGTAATTTCCTTGCCAAGTTGTGTAAGTACAGAAAATTGCCATGAACTATCCGTGGCTTGATGAAGGCACTTTCAGTGCGGGAGACAAGGGTGTGCATGAACGGGGCCAAATGGTTAGTCATCATCTTAGCCGCAATTGTCAGAATTGCCTAATAAGGCCAATCGACCTAAAGTCGGAGATGCACTTAGCCCCCTCTTTCTGTCACCCGACTATTATGTGACAGATAGAAACTCACAATCGCTTGTAGTATGTGTACATGTTCAAACATGAACGTAATGTTGCATCAATTTTCCACAAACATGAAGCACATTCTAGTAAAAGAAGTTGTTAATGAAAAAATTGTCTTAACGAGACAAAATACATATAATATTTTGGTGTGGAAGGAGTAGCTTTCGTTGTGTTTAGGATGGCTTGCCGCTCTAGGCCCGCGGCAATTGCAGGAGTTGATGCTTAGCTTCGGTGCGTATGATTTTGAATAATTTGAGAATATTAAATTAAATTTTCTAATCCGGCACATCATACGAGAATCGTGATTTGGATGGTTAGTAGACATGCTCCCAGATTTGTTCCCCACTATGAAGGCAAGTTCGAATTTCCTTGTATTCCAAGATTAGGACAAATCAGACACGAACCAATTTGTGGGTCGATGGTTAGGAGGACATTGATATTCCCAGTTCATGAGTTCATGAGAGGAGACATTCTGTTCTACTACAAGGTAACTGTGATAACTTCGTCAATTTGAAGATGCTATGCCGGCTAAGTCTCCCGAAAGTGCTTATAAAGGTAGGGTGTGTGCATGCGTTTATAAGAGTGGATGTATGTGAGCGACTTTTGATTGTACTATGTTTAATAAAAATAATAATGATACTGAGGCGCATCCAAATTATTAAACTGTGCATGTTGTGCAGCTTGTGTCGTGTGAGCCAATATGCGAGTTGTGGTTTTCTCGAGAAGAAATTAAGAGACAAAAAGAGGTTGGCATCTCATTGGCTCGAGTGCATGTGTAGCAATGCACAGTACCGCCACGCCTGGCCTCACGCCACTGGTTTCAGTCCCAAGTAAGCCAGGGGCCTACACAACGATACCCGCAGATGTACTGCTGCCTCCACTGCCATGCGTATATAACGCAGCCCAAGTGCGAGCGTCGACCGGCGTACTGACCCTGCTCTACTGTACTGCACCTCTGCTGCTACATACCACTTCAGAGAGTCGAGCAGAGTAGAGGCGAACAGAGTGAGCGGCGATCACCACGCAGACGCGCCATGGCCGCCGCCGTGCCGTTGCCGGTGATGCTCCTTGTCGCGGTGGCCGTCATGCTCGTCGGCGCCGGCGCAGGCGCGGCAGGGGTGCGCGGCGGGCGGCGGCAGCAGCAGCAGCAGCTGAGGATGGGGTTCTACGACAAGAGCTGCCCGGCGGCGGAGCGGATCGTGGGCGACTACGTCCGGCAGCACGTCCGGCGCGTGCCCACCGTCGCGCCCGCGCTGCTCCGGACGCACTACCACGACTGCTTCGTCAGGGTACGCACGCACGCACGTGCACACGAGCATTCCATACGTGCGCGTGACTCCATGCAAATGCTGCATCAGTTCTGTGCTGCTTATGAATTAATTTACTGTCGCGTGCTGGTGTGGTGTGGTCTGCGTGCATGCAGGGCTGCGACGGGTCCATCCTGCTCAACTCCACCGCCGCCGGCGCGGCGGAGAAGGACGCGCCGCCGAACCTGACGCTGCGCGGGTTCGACCTCATCGACCGCGTCAAGGGCCTCGTCGAGCAGGCCTGCCCCGGCGTCGTCTCCTGCGCCGACGTCCTCGCGCTCGCCGCCCGGGACGCCGTCGCCGCCATTGTACGCCGCGCTCTGCTCAGCTCAGCTCACGTACGCCATCTGGTCATCTATCCGTAGCCAGCACTGACGTGCACATGGTCTCCGGTGCAGGGCGGGCCGTCGTGGCGCGTGCCGACGGGGAGGAGGGACGGCACGGTGTCGACCATGCAGGAGGCGGTCCGCGAGCTGCCGTCGCCGTCGATGACCTTCCCGCAGCTCGTCGCCCTGTTCGCCGGCAAGGGCCTCGACGTGCGCGACCTCGTCTGGCTGTCAGGTGCGTTCCCAGCATACACACCCTAGCTTAATAATCACATGCCACCTACACTAACCAACCAGCTCTGCATGCATGTAGTACGTCTGATCACATGAATTACTAAACTAAACATCTGCTAAAAAGATTGAACAGAGACAACTGACCCCAAATTATCTGAGAAGTGGTAGCCACCGACACGATGAAAGGCTGTCAGTTACCGCCCATTCTTTGTGTGCCGATCGGGCATAGCAAAGCAGCAAGAAGAATCGTTGCTTTATCTGTCGGCCTCAAGCCAGATGGGCTGATATTCCTTCACCAACAACCGTAGTTTCTGAACACTAGCTGCCACAACGAATCAGACACTTTCCAGACTTCAGTAAAATGTTCCAAAATTTTAGCACCGTAGATTCCTGTAAACCCTGCTCCCAACCATCGTTTTGCTTCCTCTAATTTTGGAAGCCATTTGAGAGACTTATGCTTGCCTGTGAACGGCATCCATTTCTGACGATGGCAAGCTCATGCTTGCATGTCTACTTCACCTGTATCATCAATCAAGTCCAAACCGATAATAGCCTTTACTTTATATCCTGTTTCCCGTTCCATACTTTAACATTTATAGTAGGGCCAACTTTTGAAATAGACTTCACCAACGCTACGCTGAGAGTCCAACAGAAACCATCTCTTTTTCTCCCACTAAAACTTCACCAAAAAAGTTCTTCCAAGAATAATGTTACAATATAAGCCCACTGAAGCGAGTAGATGAAAAGGAAAATTTACAGAAAAACAAATACGTAGTACTAAATTCTTGCTTGGTCGAATGTGTCTCTAAATCGAGCCTGAGGTGCAACAGGTGCGCACACCATCGGCATCGCCCACTGCTCGTCCTTCGCGGACCGCCTCTACAGCTACCCCAGCGCCGGCAACGGCACCGGGACCGTCCCGCCCCTCGACGCCGCCTACGCGGCCAACCTGCGGCAGCGCAAGTGCAGGATGGGCGGCCGCGACACCACGGTGGAGATGGACCCCGGCAGCTTCCTGACGTTCGACCTCGGCTACTACCACACTGTGCTGAAGCACAGGGCCCTGTTCCGGTCCGACGCCGCGCTGGTCACCGATCCCGCGGCGCGGGCCGACATCGCCGGCGTCGTGTCCAGCCCGCCGGAGGTGTTCTTCCAGGTGTTCGCGCGGTCCATGGCGAGGCTGGGCGCCGTGCAGGTCAAGACCGGCTCTCAGGGGGAGATCAGGAAGCACTGCGCCGTCGTCAACAGCTAGATCGAACAGAGATGCTGTGATTTTGCTCTTATTCTTTCGTCATCTGTAACCAGTGTTATTTTGATCATATTTTTGTTGAGAATGGTGGTAGAATAACTGAGTCTGCAGGTTAACTGCGAACACAGAAGATATGACATGTGTATGCACTACTTATAAGATTGATGAAGTTGTATTCATAGGTATGTGAAAGCTCCGAAAAATATACAAGCAGCGATGATGAAACATAGTAGTACATAACTGCGAACTCACTAAATTCAAAGAGTATTACAAGTGTATGAAATTGTCTCATCAAACAGAGAACAAATATAAGCCACTTCTGCTCACGTAGCAACAGATCATTACAGCTTAAGAAACAGATAGCAGAGTCATAGACAATACTTGCATATACGTCCATGGCAGACTGTCCGACTAAACTTCAAGAACCACTCAGGCGCTAGCACAGAACAGAGTGCCGTACTGTCAGGTGCGCTTCATCTTCAGTATGAACTTTTGGTGCACTGCATCTATGCAATTGAAGAAAGCAAACCTCCAGATCTTGCAGAAAAACAGTGCTCCAAACCATACCCAGAAACCAAAGATAGTTCCAGCAATCACCGAGTAGCACAGCCAAAATGTTTCAAGTTCATGGTGATGTTCCTTTGCCACATCCACTGGCGCTGTAGTATCTGAATTGTTTGTACTCCCTCCGTCCGTGAATAAGTGTACTTCTACGTTTTATCGTGAGTCAAAGTTTTAAAATTTGGACCAACTTTATAGAAAAGAATAGTAGCATATATGACATCAAATTGGTATATTATGAAACTACATTTCAAAATGAACCTATTGATAGTAATTTAGTGCCATAAATGCTACTACTTTTTCCTATAAAGTTGGTCAAAGTATTAGAACTTTGACTTAGGACAAAACCTAGATGTACACTTATTCGCGGACGGAGGGAGTACATGCTATGCTCAATGGGGGACCACAAAGTCCCAGATTATTGCTATAGATAGATGGGTCATCAAGCGTCTGGAGTTGATTACCTGTAGGTATCTCTCCAGATAGAAGGTTGTTGGAGAGATTGAGAGTGTTGAGGAATATCAAGTTTGACATGCTAGAAGGAATAGGACCGGATAGTTTGTTCAACGAAAGGTCAAGGGATTCTAACGACTTCAGATTGCCAATGTCCTTGGGGATACCACCACACAGATAATTTCTTGACATATTTAGCAACTGGATGCCTCTAAGATTTGTTAACTCTAAAGGGATTTCACCGGAGAGAGAATTGCCAGAGAGATCGATGCCGGTCACAAATGCATGCCTTACCTGAAAGGTATGCTCCTGCCCCTTCCAAATAATGTCCATGCCACCCTCATCAAAATATCCAAAGGCGGTAGATTTTATGTTGATTGTTAGAACTGGCTGCATCGTAGATGTATGTGTCATCATGGAAAAGTTGAAAAATCTTTCTGGTATGGAACCTTCAAAACTATTTTCAGCTAGATCAAGCAGTTGGAGATGGGAGAGTTGCGACAGCTGCCAAGGAATACTTCCACAGAACCTGTTTGATCGCAGTTTAAGAATCTTCAGCATAGGGTTGTTGTCCCTTATCCACAAAGGAATTGCACCAGAAATATTATTGTTCCCGAGATCCAAAACAACAAGGTTTTTGAAGTTCTTCAACACTTCTGGAAAGCAGCCTGTGAAATTGTTATTTGACAAGTGCAGTGATCGTAGTGAAGAGTTGTAGTAAGTTGAGGTTGGAACTTCCCCAGAAAAAGCATTGCCCGACAAGTTCAAGGATTGCAAGTCTTTCAAATTCCAGTAGCAACCAGGAAGCTCTCCAAAGAACTGATTCTGTGATAGATCCAAGATCTGCAAACGTGGCAGTTGGCAAAGGGAAGACAGTGATTCTCCCAAAAAGCTGCTATGTTCTGTATTGTTGGACACCTTGAAAGCCCGCGACTGCCTATTGACAGTACGAATTACATCTGTAAGCTTGTTGCCAGACAATAACAGAACAACAAGATTTATCAGACAGGATATACTTGCAGGAAGCTCACCCCCAAGATGGTTGGACCTGAGGGCAAGCAATTTCAAAGATGTTGCATTGCTGATAGCTGGTGGTATAACTCCAGTAAGGCGATTTCTGGATGCATCAAATACCTCAAGCTTGGTCCAGTTTGTAAACATCTCTTGTGGGATGGTACCACTGAATCTGTTGTTCCCTATATCAAAGTATTGCAATTCCATGCACTTGCTGATTTGTGATGGGAGTCTTCCAGTCAACTGGTTACTGGATGCATCAAATACCTGGAGCTTGGTCTGATTTGTAAACATCTCTTGTGGGATGGTACCGCTGATGCTGTTTGTATTTATTCCAAACTGTCTCAATTCTTGCATCCTGGCAAAAGATGGTGGCAAACTTCCAAATAACTGGTTATGTGATAGGTACATGTCCCGGAGGTTAGTAAGGTTCCCCAGCTCGGGTGGAAGCGTAGAAAACAAACTAGCGTTTCTAATGCCAAGTTTCTGTAGCAACTGAAGCTGCCCGAGTGAAGCTGGGATCGATCCACCAAGTGGGTTGCTGCCCAGTAGAAGAGTTTGCAATCCAGGTATCATCCCCAGCTCCTCTGGGATTCCACCCGTGAGATTATTTCCGTTGATACATAGTATCTCTAGCTTTCGGAGCCTTGAGAATGAGCAAGGTATGGAGCCAGAGAATCCATTAGCCGACAAATTTAGATACCTCAACCTTGGGACCATCTCTGGCAGTGGATCTGGTAACAGACCTGAAAAGGCATTACCGATAAATCAAGGGACCTTATATTCGCATTGGTGTAGTTCGGGATGAATAGTGGGAAGTTTCCACTGAGATCATTATTAGCTAGAGATAACAACTTCAAATTGGGCATATGCGACAACTTGGCATATTCTGGGTTGGTCAAGTATGAACTTGATGAGCATTGGTGGGTTGCTGAGTTGGTAGGGGATGGCAGCAACGAGATTGTTGCTGCTCAAGTCTAGAGAGATTGTTGTTGTTGAGATTGATCTTAGTGAGGTTCCGGAACACTGCAGAGTAGAAGGTATGAAGCGTACCATGGAGTCTTGAGTTGGGAAGGTGGAGCTTGATAACATGCCCGGCAGCATCACAGGTGACGCGAACCAAGAGCATGTAGAGTTTGCCATCGACCATGAGGACAACGAGTTGGCGCGAATCAAAGTGGACTTCCATCGGAGAAGTGCTTCTGCTTCCGGATTGATTGCCTTGGCCGTGCATATTAGCAGGAAAGTTGAGAGGTGGAAGAGTGCCTGCAGCGCCATTGGTGCTTCGCTGTTTCTAGGATGAAGCAAGCTGCATGGTGTTGAATGTATCCAAGCTGCAGACAGAATGCATTAAAGATCATTAAGATTGTAGCAGTGCTGCCGCTGGACTGGCATGTGCGCATAAAGACTGAAGACTTGGGGGTCGTGGTTGACAGCGAAACCACAGTTCCAGTAGGACCCCATGGAAGGTCATCATAACATGTACTCCCTCCGTCCAGTACTAAGGTTGAGACACTTATTTTGGGACGGAGGGAGTACGAATCAAAATGGGAACACAATGCAGATGGGCAGATTACTGGGGAAAAACTGTAGTTTCTGAATACTGCGACCCCGAATCAGGCACTTTAGAGACTTCAGTACAATGTTCCAAATATTTACATAATCTGAATATTTACCAGATAGCAGACTTTATATATTATTATTTTGTTGCCAGGCACTGATAACCTGAGTAACTGATGCATGTCTATGAACGGCATCCATTTCTGACTGTGCCAAACTCACATTTACATGTCTACTTCACATTTGCCTTATCAATCAAAAAACCCTGTCCCTATTGCATACTTCAGCATTTAGCGCAAACTTTTGAACTAGACTTCCCAATTCTACTGCTGAAGCGAATCCAACAGAAACCATCTCTTTTTTTTCTACTAATAATTTCACCAAAAAAATTTCATCATGAATAGTGTTATGTAAACCCACTGAGGTCCAGTTCGGCGATTAAAGTACTCCCTCTGTTCGGACATAAGTGTCGTGGTTTTAGTTCAAATTTGAACTAAAACCACGGCACTTATTTCGGAACGGAGGGTGCACTTGAATTACAACGAATGTGAAAAGCAACATTTAAAACAAATCTTCACATAAACAAATACTGAACTCTTGCATGGTTGAACGTGTTTCTGAATCAAACCTGAGATGCAGGTGCGCACACCATCGGAATCGCCCACTGCTCGTCCTTCGCCGACCGCCTCTACAGCTACCCCAGCGCCTGCAACGGCACCGGGACCGAACTGCCCCTCGATGCCTCCTATGCCACCAACCTGCGGCAGCAAAAGTACAGGATGGGCGATAGTGCCGCAGTACAGATTGACCCCGGCAGCTTCTTGACGTCCGGCCTCGACTACTACCACACTGTGCTCAAGCACAGGGCCCTGTTCCGGTCCGACGTCGCGCTGGTCACCGACGGCGCGGCGCAGGCCGACATCGGCGGCGTCGTGTCAAGCCCGCCGGAGGTGTTCTTCCAGGTGTTTGCGTGGTCCATGGCGAGGCTGGGCGCCGTGCAGGTCAAGACCGGCTCTCAGGGGGAGATCAGGAAGCACTGCGCCGTCGTCAACAGCTAGATCAAAATGAGATGCCCGGAGAGGGTTATTTTGCCTGGAAACTGTTGGTGGATGCTGTGATTTTGCTCTTATTCTTTGGTCATCTGTTGTAACCAGTGTTATTTGGATCATATTTTTGTTGAGAATGGTGGTAGAATAACTGAGTCTGCAGGTTAACTGTGAACACAGAAGATATGACATGTGTATGCACGACTTATAAGATTGAAGTTGTATTCATAGGTACTAGCAAGCTCCGAAAAATATACACGCGACGACGACGAAACATACATGACTGCAAATCACAAAATTCGGAGAATTACACCTAGTACAAGTCTCTAGAAAATAGCTTATGAGAAGCTCAGAAGAAATATAAGCCACTTCTGCTCACATAGGAACAGATCATTACAACTTAAAAAACGAAGAGCAGGATCATGGACAATACAATATATGTCCATTGCAGATACTGCAGGTCTGAAGAACCTTCAAAAGGCACTCTAGCGCTAGGACAAAGCAGAGTGCCGTACTCTCAGGTGCGCTTCATCTTCAGTATAAAATTTTGGTGCAGCGCATCGACGTAGCTGAAGAAAGCAAGCCTCCAGATCTTGCAGAAAAACAATGCTCCAAACCGAAGACAGTTCCAGCAATCATGGAGTAGTACATCCACACCCTTTCAAGTTCATCGTGATGTTCCTTTGCCCCATCCACCGGTGTCGTAGTATCTGAATTGTTTGTACATGGAATGCTCAATGGGGGACCACAGAGTCCGAGGTTATTGCTATAGATCGATGGGTCCTCGAGTGTCTGGAGTTGACTTCCTGTGGGTATCTCACCTGATAGACGGTTGTTTGAGAGGTTAAGAGAGCTCAGGAACTTCAAGTTTGACATGCTAGGAGGAATAGGACCAGACAGTTTATTCCACGAGAGGTCAAGGGATTCTAACAGTTTGAGATTGCCAATGTCCTTCGGGATACCACCAGATAGATTATTTCTTGACATATTTAGTAACTGGACCCCTCTAAGATTTGTCAACTCTGAAGGCATTTCACCGGAGAGAGAATTGCCGGAGAGATCAATGCCAGTCACAAATAGATATCTTTCGTCAAAGGTGTATTCCTGTCTCTTCCAAAGTATACCTATGCTGCCATCATCAGAAAATCGGAAGGGTCTCAATTCTATGTAAGTTGTTGGAACCGGCTGCATCATGGATGCCTGACTCATCGAGGAGAAGTTTATAAAATTTTCTGTTATAGAACCTACAAAAGTATTTTCAGCGAGATCAAGACGTTGGAGATGAGAGAGTTTTAGTAGCTGCCTGGGAATACTTCCATGGAACATGTTTGATCGCAGTCTGAGAATCCTCAGCAAAGGATTGCTTTCCCCTATCCACGGAGGAAGTGCACCAGACATTTTATTGTTCCCAAGATCCAAAATCACAAGGCTTTTGAAGTTCTTCAACACTGCTGGAAAGCAACCTGTGAACTTGTTGTTGGACAAGTGCAACAAACTTAGCGACGAATTGTAGTTAGCTGAGGTTGGAACTACCCCAGCAAAAGCATTGCTCGACAAATCCAAGAATTGTAGATCTCTCAAATTCCACAAGCAACCAGGAAGCTCACCAAACAACTGATTGTTTGATAGATCCAAGATTCGCAGAAGTGTTAGTTGACAAAAGACATACAATGGTTTTCCCAAGAACCCGCTATTCTTGGCCACTTTGACAACTGGCAACTGCTTGCTGTCAAGATTAGGACCGATACCCGTAAACTTGTTGTCAGATAAGAAGAGAGCAACAAGGTTTACCAGTGAGGAGATGGTCGCAGGAATCTCACCCTCAAGATGGTTGAAGCTGGCGCGAAGGAGTTTCAAAGATGATGCATTACTGATATTTGATGGCATAATTCCAGTAAGGTAGTTATTTGACAAGTCCAATGCTTGCAAATTTGGCATGCTTCCAACCTCCACCGTTATCGAGCCAGTAAAGTTGTTGTGGGAAAGGAGGAGACACAATAGCTCCTTCCACTCGCTGATCTGAGAAGGGATGCTTCCAGCTAACAAGTTGTGATTTACATCAAAGTACTTGAGCTTGGTCCAGTTTGTAAACATCTCTTGTGGAATGGTACCACTGATACTGTTCTCCTCTATTACAAAATCTTGCAATTCCTGCATCCTGGCCAACGATGGTGGCAAAGTTCCGAATAAATGATTCTCGTTCAGTACCATGATCTTGAGACTGGTAAGGTTCCCCAGCTGGGGCGGAAGAGTAGAAACCAAGCTAGCATTTCCGATGCCGAGCTTCTCCAGCAACTGAAGCTGCCCGAGTGAGGCTGGGATTGACCCACCAAGTGGGTTAACGGATAGTGAAAGATATCGGAGTCCAGGTATCATCCCCAGCATCTCTGGGATTCCTCCTGTGAGATTATTTCTCTAGAGAGTTAGTATCTCTAGCTTTTGGAGCCTTGAGAGCGAGCAAGGTATGGAGCCAGAGAATATATTAATGGACAGATTTAGATACCTCAACCTTGGGACAATCTCCGGCAGTGAATCTGGTAACGGCCCTGTGAAGGCGTTACCTGATAAATCGAGGAACCTCATCCTCGCATGGGTGCAGTTGAGGATGAATTGTGGGAAGGTACCACTGAGATTGTTATTAGCTAGAGATAACAGCTTTAAAGTGGACATGGGTGAGAATTTGGCATATTCTGGGTTGGTAAGGTTGTTATTTCCCAAATCTAACTTGATAATCATTGGTAGCTTGCTGAGTTGGTAGGGGATGGCACCAACAAGATTGTTGCTGCTCAAGTTCAGAACGGTGAGGGTGCGAAACAGAGAGATATTTGCTGGGACAACACCACCAAGGTTATTTGTGCTAAGGTCAAGCATGGTGAGGTTTTGGAGCACTGGAGAGTATAAGGCGTGTAGCGTACCATGAAGGCCCACAATGGGAAGACGGAGCTCGGTAACATGTCCAGCAGTGTCACAAGTGACGCCAAACCAAGAACACATGGGACTGGAAATCGACCAGGAGGACAGCGAGTTGGCTCGAATCAAACTGGACTTCCATCGGAGTAGTGCCTCTGCTTCTGGGTTGATCTCCTTGGCTGTGCATACTAGCAGAAAGAGTGAGATATAGAAGAGTTTCTGCAGAGCCATTGCAGCGGTTAGCCGGTTACAGTGTTGATAAGAAAATGGGTAAGTTGAAGGGTGCTCTATGCATTGGCTTTAGAAGTAGCTAGAGTGCACATAGATCAAATCATGTCTGTGTCATTGCAAACGAAGACTTGTCTGAAGACTTCTTGTGTTGGGGAAATATCAAATCATAAATTGTGTCAGTGTTCTGCGGCCACGCACTGTTGAAAAATAGCCGGCTTATCACAGAAGTTATTAGAAGTCGCGAGTAAAGTGATGACTGATATGTATGCGGGTGTGGTTGCCTGCTAACACAAAGCAAACCAAATCAGCTTATCAGCCAGTCAGATCTCTAGGATTGAATGCAGTTGTGTCTGAATCATCCTGTTACGCAAACAAAATCTACTGTGTCTAGGGGACGACAAATGCACAAACGCACGCCATATTTGGGGATTTTTTTTGATCAAACACATTTGGGGATTTTAACTTACAAATGGATTTTCGAGACATCGAACAATGCAAAACGGTGATAAACGGACCGGGAAGTTTGATACCAGCGTGGAGGAGGGCGGCTGCTGGGAGCGAGCAAGGGCAACGTGAGTCGCATCTTCTCCCCGCCCGTGGGGTTTGCTGGCTTGACCGGCGAGGACGACGAGACGAGGCGCCATCGGGTATCTCTGGTGAAGGAGATGGCCGGCGGCGAGTAAGCAACGCGCCTTCTCGTGGCTCTGACACGGGAGAAGGACGGCGGCGCCCGTGGAAGCAACCGTGGAAACGAAGGGGGAAACCGGCGGCGTCACCGGAGGGCACGAAGGCACGGCCGATGAGAACTGTAGAAACTGGCGAAGGGGAAAACGAGGACCAGGCCACGATTCACGAACATGCGGGCCCACTCCAAGGAGCACCCAGCAACTCGAGTGAATATCCCGTGAATACCAAAGATACAATGAAACTCCATATTAAATGCATTTGAAAGTTTAGAGAATTATTAGAAAAAAAAACAGAGCTATATCACATATTAGTAAATTTAGCCGAGGCCCGTGATGCAATTAGTGGTGAGGAGGCATTATCACACCACTTGACACAATGAACAAAAGAGGAGTCATTACTACTACATATAGGTAGAGATGGCATCACAGAAGGTGGCGGCGAGGCCCTTGTTGCTCCCTTTTGGAGGACGCCGGAAACCGAGGTCGCGGCCCTGGGTGGAGATGGCACCGCCAGGCTTGACCTGCTCCCAGCAGCGACGAGCAACACTGGCGCGGTGGCAAAGGATAATGATATGGGCGAAGGCGGTTGGATGTATATGTTGCGACAATATGGTATTGGTGCACGCGGGTGACACTGACGGTTGGATAACCCTACATCCAGGGGTTGTTTGGATGGAGGCCTATCAGACAACTCCTTTGCCAGGCACAAATCTCAGCCTCAGGCCTCCAAAATCGGACTTGACTCAGGCCGTTTTTGTGGAAGCGAACCAAACAGCCTCTCTCTCTCTCTCTCTCTCTCTCTCTCTCTCTCTCTCTCTCATCAACATAGATGAAGGTGGTGTGAAAGTGTTTGCAAGCTTTTGTTGTTTTTGCCCACAACAAGGGTGGGATTTGGGATCTCACATCATCGAGATCCAGCTAGGGAGTCGTCAAACCGCTAGAATGGTTACCTCCAGGAACGACTTCAATTATAAAGATGTGCATGCTACAGAGAAAAACCCATGATCTCACCTCTCTGACTTTATCAGGCAATGTAGATGTTGCCTCAAAACTCGGCTTCGGAGATGAGGATCTCATTTGGAACCTTTGGTTGGATAAGTCAATATCGATGCACGTGTGATCACTTCCCAAAGCTTAGTGAAGTAGTACTTTTGTTCGTTGTTCCATCACATGTCATGTTCTTGATGGGTTTATGGGGATACTGTAGTCAGATCTTTTGTGGATGGTCACATATTTCTTATTGTTTACTTTTGTAGCTCACCTTTTATGACAATATCTAAGAAAAAACATGGTGACATTTGAAAAAACATGGTGACGTTGAGAATGCATCATAACTGTAACTAGACTTCATTCCCCACTACCAAATGTTGCATATGACGGATGTAGAACCTCGACTCACCAACAACTTGTGCTGCCACATGAGTTTAGTGAGCTAGTGCCCAAGGATATGTCACAGATCCGCTACACGTGATGCCGCAACGGCACACACAGTTGCTGGCACAAAGCTCTCCGCCACCCTTTTTGTCTTATAGGTCAAAGATGAGAGGCCTTTAGGTAGGGTTTTTGGGTAGCAAAAGTACGTATGTGCTTCCATTAGCCTCCCATGAATCAAAATCCTCATCTTCAGATCCTTCACCCCATTCCTTTGACACGATGACTGGCATTATACCAGTACCTGGAAACCCTCATCGCGGCCCCTCTGTACGGAGTGTGCAAGAAAGTGATTAACAATTTACTAGACCGTACCCTACCTGTGGCAGGGACAAGTGGTAGCACAATTCAAGTATGGGGGTTACCGGAATAAGACTCGATCTACAATCGACTAGGGAGGTTTAAGTTTCCCATCATTGGGTTAGCACAATATATATCCTTGGTGGTACCCAACAGGGTCACCACTTGGCATGTCCCAACATGCCCTCACTGATCATTCTCGTCACAACGAGATTCCTGTCTCACGCTCACTTTCACTAGTGATAGATCCTTTCCTGCAGGTTAGTCAAAAGAGGCATAGGAATATGTGGCACAAAGGTTTCATGTTTAGGTGAAATCAAATACTGACAAGGAACCACATATGCATGATCATCTATATGCAATTTCATATGAGGTAACATAACATGTTTCAAATATTCTAGCAAGCAATCATCATATGAAGTGTTCAAAAATGCTTGCCTTGGGTATGACTAGCAAATATGCCCGTGCGTTGGAATGGGAGAAAAACTATCAGATTGTGCAGGTATGATAGATATTTAAAAAAATCTGAATCAAATACCAGGATGAGATAAGGATTTTTTAAATGTCATTTTCACAAACTATGTCTGAGTGATGTCATGATGAGATAAGTGACTATTAAAAAGTCATTTCGAAAACTAAAAATGTGATGGTCTCATCACAATTTGATTTCCTAAGGTGCGACAACAAATATTTTCTAGCTGAGCAAACTGCGTTGATGGACCCTACCTGAGGTAGACTGATGAACGATGTGTCTCGCCTTGACCTAGCCAATATTGTGGTACCAAAATGAACATAATTATGTATCGACGCAAATAGACATTTAGTCTTTTTTATATAACTGTGTATCCAGCAGAAATTGGACCCGCAAGTTTACCAATTATGAGTTGGGCGCTTTAACCATTCAGCCATGGATGCTTAACAGGGA